CCCCCCCCACCTTAGAGGGGTGCAGGCTCTGAGGGCTGAGTGGGATGGGGAGGCTGGCTGGGGAAACAGCTGAGCACACCCTGCCTAGTAATGATATGTCCAATGCTAGGGGACAGCTTTCCCTAGCTGGGTGTAATGAAAAAGCTAACACTGGTAAGAAAATAGCTGGCATTTACTGAATGTGAACTAAGTGCCAGGCATTGTTCTAAGTGCTTGTCACGTAGTAATTCATTTAATCTTCAGATCAACCTGTGAGGAAGGTGGCACTGTTTTCTCCTTTCACAGATGAGGAGGTTGAGGCCCAGTAGGTAGCAGGTGGCAGGGCCAGGATGTGGCCCCAGGTATCTGACTCCAGGGCCTGCTTTTAACTCAAGAGCTCTGAATCCCAAATCATGGGCCTGAATGTTGATCGAGTGCTGGCCTTCACTGCTGGGGACAGGACCTAATCCTGTAGGACCTAATAATCCAGCAGAAAGGTGATGGTGACTTCCCGCAGTTTACTGCAAAGCTGAGGCACTAGGTGCAGATGGAACTTTAGAGCATGGGAGGCTGGCATGGTGTGAGGAGCAACCACAGTACAGGTTTGAGGGGTAGAGGGGCCCAAATGGGGCCTGTGGTGGGAGGCTGGGGTGGCACCTGTCAGATAAAGGAGAGAATGAGGACCTTCCAGGTGGGGAACAGCAGGGCAAAGGCAGAAGTGAAAAGGGACACACGGCTGGGGAGCTAGCCCTGCAGCACAGTGAGCACAAGGAACATGGGGAGGCAGAATGCAGAGGCAGGGCTGGGTCAGGAGGGGTCCTGAAGGCTCAGGTATCCATGAAGAGTTGGGCGCTTCAGAACGACCCCTCTGCCTTGGGGCTTCTGGCTCACAGCCCTGAATGTCAGTTTCTGTTGAGAGCGATCAGGACCCCTTGGCAGGGCTCCTGGGGGTGCCCACGCTCCATCTCCCCTATTGTGAAGGGGTATAGCAGAAAGAGCATGGGTTTCAGAACCAGAGGCCTGGCCTTGAAGGCCACCTCACTCACTTATCAGCTATGTCCCTGGGGAAGTGGCTTATACTCACTAAGCCTAGTTTCTCGTTTGTAAACCAGTGGTAACTGTGCCCTAAGCCTGCTGGGGAAAGTGAACAGCACCAGCACGTGACCAGGCTAGAAGCACTAACTGCTCACATTTCCTACACTCTGCCGGACATGTCCTCAGTCACTCCATCCCCATGAGCCACCAGGAGGTGGCTCCAAAATTATGTTACCATAATAATGACAGTGCTTACCTCATAAGGTTGATGTCAGGGATAAATGTGTTGGCATTGTGAAGGGTGTTGCATACAGCAGGTGCTCAATAAGTATTAAACAAGTGTACTCAGCCTGTGTCAGGGACGCACAGGAACTGGGCCACACACTGAGCCTCAGTGTCCCCTTCTGTCAATGAGTAGATAGGGTTGGCTGGGTCAGCCAGGCTCTATCAACTGAGGGGCTGCTGTATGATTCCAACTAAAACTGTGACTGCCCCTGCTAATGCCACATCAGGAAGGCTGCACAACCTCCTCCTGTCCACGGCGTCCCCCAACACGGAGTCACCCCAGTGTTGTTCTTGGGGCCCAATACCCTGGCATTCTGGAGCCCCAGGATACTCACGGCAGAACCTGAGGAAGTCTGACTGCAGCTCCTTCCGCGCATTTAGGAACATTCTCCCCTTCTCGGTGCCCACCACGAAGGCGCTCTCATCATGCACGGCGACACAGGCCACTTCTGCGTTCAGCTTGGAGAGCGCAGAGCACTATAGGGGGAGCAAGGGATGGATGTGAGCTGGGAAAGGTCCCCCATCCCAGCATCCCTCCATGCCAGCTTTGGGGTGGAATGTGAGTTCCCACCAGCAACTCCAGGGAGAGGTCACTCTTCCAACATTCCCACTCTTAGAATTTGCACTGGGAATCAATGAGTGACCACCCCCCATCCTGAGCTTGGCCAAGGTCAGGGGGAGAAGATAAGTTTACAGAGGCTGAAGGACAAAGGCACAAGGCCTCTGCTCCTTCCTCCTCCTGGGTCCTCCCTGCTCTGGGTGGGCTTCCTATGTTAGGCCTGGACCCAGCCCCATGGGCAATCCTGTCCTGGGCTCTGTAAGTTCTGGATGAGAAGAAGGTGGGATGGGCCCTAGGAGAACCAAGGCTCAGACAGATCTAGGCTTCACTCCCACCTCAGCCACTTCCTGTTGGGGGACTGGGGCAGTCACACCGATCACTGGGCCCAGTTCCAAATCTGTAGAACGGAGACAAGCAGCCCAGCTCGAAGGGTTTCAATGGGTTTGGTTGTGGAGATTCAGGAGGCCTGGTTGGTGGGAAAGAATTTCTAAACCAGGGCATCCCATGTGGGTATCCAGAGGTATTTTTGCAGCCCTAGAGTTGAAGCTGGCAGGCTCACTGCAAGGGAAGCCCTAACACAGGGGGCCCTCCACCAAGACAACCAACATCTCAGGCTTCAGACCTGCTTCACCAGGAAAACCCTGCCTGTAAAGCTTTCGGTATACAGTCGGTACCTGATAAATGCTGGTTTTTAGATGAGTTAGGTAGTGCTTTGCTGACAGTTAGGAAGTCTAGCTTCTAATCATAGTTCTGCTGCTGTGTGACCTAGACATGTCACACATATTCCTTACCCTCTCTGGGCCATAATCATGCCTCTTCTGCCAGGTCCAACCTGGAGGTGCTCTGGTGGGGAAGCTGGTACATTGCAGAGTGAGCAGGCCTGTCTCCATGGATCCCCTACTGAGGGGGCTTTGTTTCCTAGTCTCTAAGATTAAAACAGTGAGGGCCATCACTGCCTGTGTCAGCTCTATTTCCACCACCATCAGGCTAACACTGCTGCAGGACACAGGGCAGAGCTCCTGGGATTCCCTCCTCATGAAGGCTGCTCTGTGTGGGGGAGGGATTGCACTGGCTTCCCCAGGGGTGCCTCCTGCTCAAACGCCACCTAAGCTGCCCTAGAGCTGCCTACAGCAGACACAGTCTGGAAGGAGGCCCTCTGTCCTACGGGCACTGAAGACTGCACCTGAGTCCATTTAAAAAACTGGTCATACTGTGTGACTTCAGGTAAGATAATGCCCTCTCTGAATTTCAACTTCATCATCCTAAAATGCAGATTAAAAAAAACAAAACACCTGCCTATCCTCCATCACGGAACTTTCCCCGGGAAAGTTATCACAGATAGAGGAAAATGACATTGGTATTTTCTCATCTGGGGTAACTGCTACAGGCTCAGGTATGTAGGCAACAGTGCCAGATGAGTTATTTATGAAGTTTCATTTCTCTCTCCCCAGCCCCAAGATGCAGCTCCAGCAGTTCTTGCTATAACATAGGGATTACAGCTTTCTAATGAATCACTGCCTACACAGTATCTTCCAGGTACTGGGAGGGAGACTTGTGACCATGCCAGGGACGGCCCTTAAATGATAAGAGTTAATGAAATGAGGAGGGGATGAGGAGTGGAGCCAGCATTTATTGCCAGGACTGAATTTTTATGTACTTGATCTCACTCAAGCCTCCTGCCCCCATGTCATAGGTAGAGGCCCTTTTGCAGGTGGGGACAAAGGCTCAGGTCAATGAAGGCTGCTCTAAGTGGCAGTAGTGGGACTTGAGCTCCCATGTCTGGTTGTCAAGCTGGGTGTCCCACTCCTCCAGGGGCGGGCCGGGCACTCACCATGGAATCTAAGGCAGACACAAGGCTGGTGATGATCTCGTCTTTGCGGGCAAAGGCAGAGGTCCAGCGGTCAGGCCCGCAGCCGTTGGTGGGGACGTCACAGCGCTTCCCCAGCAAGGCCATGGTCACCTGGATAGAGAGTGGGAGTAGAGAGAGGTGGGCATGTGCCACAGGGAGTGGAAGACATTGTAGGTGCCCACTCCAACTGGCCTGGCCCCCAACCCCAGGGCTGTCTCTACTTCCCAGGTGGGGCGAAGAGCTGGCCTTCTCTCCTAAGGGTCTTACATGCAAGATGTAATTAGAGCCTTGACAGGCTGGACACGCAGCAGCTCGCACATGGCCTTATAGGTGGGGCACAGGTGGCAGGATAACTGAGAGGTGTGCCCCACAGCACGTCCCCCAAGTCTGCCGCCCCGGAGCTGAGCCCAGGACCATGACCAGTCTGTCTAGCACCCCAACCATCAACTCTCCCCATGCACACTGCCTTGGCCATAGCTCTCTCTTACTCACACACTCTCTGTGGCTCCCTACTGCCCACATTAGTTCTCAACTCGGCTTGGTATTCAAGGTTCCTGGTCCAGACACCCATGTTCCAGGTATTATAAGCGTCACTATCCCCCAAACGAACCAACATTCTTATGGCTCTCTAGCTGTCACAGGTTTCATTCTCCCTCCCCAAGTGCCTTTCCTGGGCCAGGTGCCCTTGCTGGCCTCCCACATGTCCCCGAGCTCCTCCATCATAGCTCTGTATCAAGCCACATGCTTCCCGGAGCGAGGCCACTGCCCCGAGGCCCCTGAGCTACAGTCTACTTCCTGGCTGTCGGGACTCAGTTTCAGAGGTACAGAGGTTGCTTTGACTTAGACCAGGGTTTCTCCCACACAGGACTTTGTCCCCTTGTCATAAGGCTCCTGGAGAACAGAGCTGCATTCTCCCCATCTCTGGGGCACCCTCAGACCAGGGCCCCCTATGAGGAATTCTCTAGGCAGGAAACTGGCCTGCTGTCCCTGTACCGCCCAGCCTGGTTGGGGCACCCACTAGATACAAAGGTCAGCCTCCCTTCCAGACCCCAGGAAACATGTCCAGGGGGCCTGCCCACAGGCCTCCTCAGTGCCAGTGCCTTCCTCTGAGGCAGCTGCCTCCTCACTAATCCAAGCAAAGGGGAGGGCAGAGGTTAGTCGGTTTCCCTCTCTGGGCTCAGCCTCATCTAGTGCTGTGCACAGGTCCCAGGAGGCCAGTTCAGGGGCATGAGCAGGGACCAGGGCTGTGGGTCTTGGAGGGAGCCTGAGAATCCTGCCTCCTTTACTTCCAGAAGATCAGGGTGAAGGAGTCTGTGCACATGACTAGGGATGGGGGGGTGCAGCACTGGGCAGGTGGCAGCTGGGTCTGGTGCCTTAAAGGGTGCCAAGCCCAGAGTGTCTTCTATCACTGCAGCTGCTCCTGGAACTTAAGCTCTGTGAGGGCAGGGACCAGCCTGCCTGTCACTGCTGCACCTCCAGGGCACAGCTCAGGGCCAGATGTATAAAATGGACCAAGGTACTGTGGCCCAAACCAAGGGCTATGGCCTTTAAGTGGCCCATGAAATCCATGACACAGAAGAGCAAATGTTTGAACACGTCACATATAACAAGGTGAGAGGTGTCCAACTTCAGTTACAGAAACATTCAAAGGAATTAGAGATGCATCAGGGTTTGGCTCTGGTCTCAGTCCTGGCCAAGTCTGCTGTTTGACTGTAGATAAATATTGATTTTAACAACTGGCCAGTTAGCAGTTGGCCAAAGTATGTATTAGGTTCACTTCTAAATGTTTATAAAATGTATTTCTTCCTCTAGGTTGCAATATTACAAAAGTGCAAAATCCACAGTATTAAGAGTGCCAATGGTATGATAGGCCACAAATAAGACATGCTAATGGATCAAGAGGCAGCCATACACCAGGGTCAGGGGCCTTCTGTGGCATGACCAGCTGAGAGGTTTGCTTGCCTGGGGTGCTTTGGAGGCTTGTCCCCTCCCCTCAGGTCAGGGGCCTTCTGTGGCATGACCAGCTGAGAGGTTTGCTTTCCTGGGGTGCTTGGAGGCTTGTCCAGCTCTCCCTGCTCACCAGTCCCTTGAGTCGTTTCCAGAAAGGCCTCTGGCTGCCAGCCTCCCAGCTGCTGGAGTCCAAATTGAATCAGGGTAAAGTAGGAGACACCAGACAGCGCTCCAGCCCTGGCCTCCAGGTCACTCCAGCCGGCTTCTGGCTCCTAATCCATTTAGGAAGGATCCACGGAGTCAGAAAGGGAGGGGTGATGGAGGGAGTGAAGGGAGGCTGGGCTGTGGGCCATCCCCTGACTTCTTGTCTTGGCCATCTGGGCTCCCAGGACCCTCTGCTCTAAGCAAGAGCCCAAGGAGGCCTAGCCTTCGGCAAGTGGGTGTGTTTGGGGATGAAGGAGGGAGAAGATCCTCCTGTACACTCCCAGGCCTCTGAGAGGGGCAGGTTCCATGTGGCTGGAGCTGCTCTGGCTGGAATAGGGGGCAAAAGTGCTGGGCTGGGAGCCATGAACCATGACCCCTGCACACAGGAGACCCAGACCCAGGCTTGCTGGGACCACGTTGGATCAACCACTGAAACTAGGGCTAGTTCTAAACTGAAAACAAGGGAGGGAAAAAAATCACCCAATAAAACCAAAAAACTATATGGAACAGAGAACACAAAGTACAACAGGCAGTTCACAGGAGGCAAGTGCCCAAGCATAACAGGAGCAAAGTCCCTGGAGGAGGGGACAGTGAGAACTGAGGCCATAGCCTGAGCCATCCCACACCAGTAAACAGAGGACAGGGGGCCAGGTGAGGGGAGAGGCTAGAGATGCCCAAGTGCTGCTCTGTGGCACCTGGGAGAGGACATCATAAATGATACCATTAGTGATGGGCAACTGGCTTCTGACCTGGGACACAAGAGGTCAGGAAGCCCTCAGTGACAAGGGACTTCCAGTCACCCCTGGGTTCCTGGGTGGGAAAGGTCTGCAAGGGTCAAGAGGCAGGCAGGGAAACTGTGAGCACCCTCTCCAAGCTCAAACACCTCCCGAGGCTGCCAGGGTGCCACACACCTGGTTTTCCTCTCACCTCCTGCGCACTCCCCTCCTGGCACTGACTGCCAAATGCTAGTGGGTCCTGGGCCCTCTCCTCTTCCCTGTCCAACACCCTCCCGCACTGCTAGGCAATCTCTGTGCTTTAAATATCACATATGTGCTGGTGACTCTTGATTTCTCTCTCACCTCTCCTGAGATGCCAAGTCCTGCCTGCCTCCTCCACTATTCTTCAATATCTAACAAGCAACTCCCCGGACATCCACTCAGGGCGCTCAGGCTGAAACAGGCCTCATCCCGGAGTCCCTTCTCTGTCTTCTAAAACAGTCTGGGGCAAGTCTGTGTCCTCAGCTCCAGAATGCACCCAAATCTGTCCACTCCTCGTCACCTGCCCACCCAGGCCGCCATCCTCACTTGCCCACACCCTGGGAACAGCCTCCTGACTGGCCTCCCTGCCCTTCTGTGCCCCCACGATCCCTCCTGTAAACAGCAGTCACATAAATCTCAAGTTGCTCTCCTGCTTAGAAGCTTCTGGTGGTTTCCCAGCTGAGGACTGTTTCAGGTCCCATCTCCTCCCGCTGCCTCTGCTCCACCGCGCCTCAGCCCATTCACCAGCTCCTGGGAACCTCCCTTGACCACGAAGCCACAGCAGCAGTCCCCGCCCCACACGCTCACTTCCCATGTCTTCTTTTATTGTCTTCATGGATGTGAAGTGACTTGCTCATGGGCTTTTGCCTGATTTCCCCAACTAGAATGTGAGCTCCAGGAGGCCAGGGGCCAGGCCTCTCGGATTTACTGTACCCCACTGTTCTGAGTGCTGCTTGGGTTTTCATGAACGCTTAACAAATTTGAGAACTAACAAGTGTGACAGCTGGCCACTTCAGGTGGGAGCCAGAATATGTGCAAGCTATGAGCAGAGCGTCTGACAACTTTTGGCTTGCCTGGCTCTCAGAAAACAAGAGGCACTGTGGGAGATGGCAACTCTGGCCATATTTAGATCATGGAGGAATAGTTCTGGAGTGGAAGATGAGGGGGGCCTCTGGGTCAGACAGGTGTCCTGGACAGGTGCTTTTCCAAGTGTGGTCCCAGAGCCCGCAGCAATGGCAACACCTACACAGCTGTCAGAATGTCTCGGATGAAGCATCAATGTGTGGGAATTGCCTTCAGTCACAGAGACAAGGAAGGGACTTGCCCAAGACCCCCAGCCACTGGGTAGTGGGGATGAGGTCTGTCTGTTTGTCCCTAAGCCTGGTCTTTCCTGTTGGGAGGACTGTACTCCTCTCATTCACCAGGACATGGGGAACAGAAAGACCAGCTGAACAAATCCACAGCTGACACTCAACCAGATTGACAACTTGTCCTAGTTCACCTGGGACTTTCCTGGGTTTACCCCAGAATCCTCTTAGTCCCAGGCAAAGCAGGGCAGTGGGTTAGTTCATAACACAGGGACCTGCAGGACCAGGGGCATGGGCCAGAGGGGACAGAAGCCCTAAAGGCAGAGCTGGAGCTGTGGAGAGCAGACCTATGTTCCTGGTCTGCGGGAAAACGACTGTGGGAAACCTGCCCCATCACTCAGTTTTCCCACATCGCTTGCCCATCTGTGAGGGAGGCAGGCAGGTAGCAAAGCTGCTGCCAATACCTGCCAGTCCAACCCCCAGATTCCTGGGTCCCAGAAGCCCTGAGGTGAGAGGTCCATGGCGGGGCCCAGGACAATGTGCTTTTCAGTTCCCAGGGGATCCTAACACGCAGCCAGGTACAGCCTGGTCTCTGCGGATGTTTCCAGCTCTAATACAGTGACTCCAGTTTCCTCAGCTTTTCCTGCCTGCTGCCTCCCTCCCTCACTGGGATTCCTTGCCTAGACAGTGGCAGCTTTGCTGGCCGCTGAGAGCTGGAGGCCAGCCCAGTCCCCGAGCCAACAATTAGCCAAGTGCTAGTGTCCACGTCTGAGTCACTGCTGCTACTACTCAAGGCAGGCCTGCCTCCAGGGCGGAGGCACCCGCAGAGGTCAGGCCCAGAAAGGCCACCCCAGCTGGCCCTGGGGCCAGGGTGAGTGGACACCACTTTAGCTGTTCCCAATCTCAAACAC